GAATAAATCAATCAAAAATATTATTCGACGTTTCTCAAGCATATCGATACTCTGTTCACGACGTGCATGGGTCCTATGTCACATTATTTTTCCGATCGCAGTGCAACTATGGAGTTATTAGTTTCATACCAACGTGCGTGTGTTGTAAGTGTAATCATATTTTACTTTAGTTGGCACTCGGTAGTCCAAACAACTCGATATTTTCGCACAGTCATCTATCTAGGAGTAATATAACTGAATGCTGCAAGAGAGCTGTATTTTTCTGTAAATTCATTTTTTATGAAGTTTTCGTTGTAAAAAAAATAATAATAATAATAACCCTAATAAAATGTGTGTATTTTTTGTTTGAAAATTAACTACGAGAAACCGTATACTCAAACTCAATTTTTTTAAATGCATTAGCGTAAGTACTAAAACATAATTTTCCCCAATAATTTGAACGCGAAAACTCTTACTGAAACGGTATAACATATTACGGAAATCGTGACTGCTAGACGATTTGTCGATGACTTATGTTTTACAGTTTTATACCAACTTGGCAGACTTCTTAGACTTAATATTATTATAATTGTGTATCATATATTTGAAAATTGAAGTTTTTACCGAATATATATACCTGTACGGTTGTACATCGTGTAACTTTATCAACTCTTGTGAATATTAAACTGATATTTTCCAATTTCTATCTTGAACAGTATTCCGAAACGGAAAAATTTCTTGAAATATAACTTTTTTGTTTTTAAAACTTGAAAAACTCAACCCACGTTCGATAATTAATATGAGTGTATACTATCTGAACTAGGATATAACGGGAGGTTAGTGCAAAAAATATTTTGATTTTCTGTCCAATTATGACAAAAAACTCTTGAAAGAATAGGTAATAATATTATATATTATAATATATGTGTGTTCTATTATCAATGTTTTTCTCATAATTGGTTTCCTACAACTGTGTCTTGAGGTGGGTTTTAATTTTTTAACATTAACAAACGGACGTCATACTTCGGAGAATAGAATTGAGTGAATAATTCACTACAGTAATTCTACGAAATTGGAGAACAGAAACTATATGTATACATTGTTATGCCCACCCCCTCTGAAGAATTAAATGTTTTATTTATAGTGCTGGAATTTCGCACCCTTATTATTACAAACGGTATTGAAATATTTGCAATTGTTTCAAAAATCGGTTCCAAATCTTCCTAAATACTCATCTCTGAATAGCTTCGATTGTGATTAAATGCACAAAACGTAGTAATCGGAATACAAAATCGTGTATTTGAATTTATGTGAAATTGGTCATACAAATAATGCATTTTTCGGTGACATATGTAACGCTGTGTTGGATTTTCCACAGTTTTTCCTGTGTTCGTTATATTTTATACGTCAATATCGTGTAAATCATCTAATAGAATATTGTCTTCTTAACAGTCGATAGGATTATTGTATTTAAGATGATGTTTAATAGAATTTATTATTTGTTATTTTTTTATTACGACGATCGATCTTATTAGTTTTAAAGGGAAATATCATGAAAATTCAATATTTGTACAGAAAATATGTCTTGATTCTTGGACGCGGACACGATGTTATTACCAACTTTAAAACCAATTCACAATCATTTAATTATGCACGCGTTTGCTCTTGTGTGTTGTATTTATGCATCGATGAGTGGTGAACAAAAAACACTATCGATTGTCGATTATTATATAATATTTAATCAATCAAATCGACAATTGTTATTTTTATATGCACGTCCGTCTTGTTGTTATTTGAAGTATTCGTATTTGCTATTATTAATTATTACAATTATTATTGTTTCGTAATTCGTACCCGGCTGATACGTGGCTGTCTCACAGTCTAATATTATTTATTGCATATTAAATATATTATTTTCAATTTTCACAAACTATCAATAATCAGCAATGTCTGTCAAAGGAGCTAAACAATGAAGGACAATCTTCCACCGCCATTATCATTTTTTTAAAACGTAATCACTGGTATTGGAAGGAGAATTTATGAGTAATGAATACCTCAGACAGCACTACGCACTGCCCGTATTATACGGTGTCCTTTAATTTTGTTTTCTGTTGAATATCCTAATTATTTTAGGTACTTAAAGTGATTTTAAATTACTATTATTTAAACATATTACTATATCTATAAGCCTGGTTGATGCATCCAATTGCATGTAATAGTTTTGAACTCAAAAATTCAAAAACACGGCTAGAATAATAATTAACTAGAACAGTTGCATTTATTATTTCGCCAACTATTTAAAATATAATTATATTTAATGCAAATATTTTAGAAACATTGTGAAAATAACGCTGTAACTAATTGCTAATTATTGCAGATATTTAACCCAACAAATTGTATGTTTAAAATGGAGCGATGTCGACTATTGACCCTGGATAAATTAATCATAGGAGATTTTTGAAATTCAAATTGACTCTCAGTCAGTATAAAAATTAAGAAGTGGATTTCATTGAGAAGGTGGGGAATGTCGGCTTGATATTTTTTATGTACAGAGTGTATCAAAAAGAAATGTCGTATGAAATGACTTTTGTTCTATAATCAATAATTTTAGTTTTTTTCATATATTTAATTTACAGTCGCTTGCTGTTCACTTATAACACATAAATATTCTACTCGTATGACATTTTTGATTGTAAAAATATGACGCATTTAAGTTATGTATAGTTAATTTTTAAATTTTTTTACAATCACATAATTTGTGTTGATCTATCATGAAAAAACCATTTTAAATTTAAAAAGTATATTCAACTTTTTTCAAATATTTTATGAGAATTTTCAAATATGTACTTGAAAACAATTATATATTTTTCAAAAAAATTTTTTTTACTATTTTTAAATTAATGAATTTAAAAAAATCATAAAAAATAAAACACTTGATTTAGATAACTGTTTTAACAATCAATAATTGTCTTAAAAAACATGTTTGAAAATTGACTTTTTTGAAATTTAAAAAAAAAGGTGAAAAAAGTTATATAATTACCGTTATATAAGTGTAGCACACGTGTCTATAAACTATAAAGGAAAAACATGTATAAATTTTGATAAAAAAATAAAAAGTTATCTAATTTGGTAAGTACTTTCCTGTTACCCGTTACACTGTGTATTTGATTATTATACTGTCCATGAACAAGTTCATTCTTAAGAAATACAAAAATATTATTGAACATTTAAGTTTTTTCACATGTGTCATATAAACATTGCTCAATAATGTTTTACATATTTTGTAAAATTAGCATGGAAGCGTTTTATTTTGATGTAATAATATCCTAATGACCTCGGAAAAACGAATATTCAGTAAACGTACAGAATATAATAGAGTATTAAGTGCTACGGAATACTAATGTTACTGGATCACTTAAATAAGGTATAATCACCTGCAGTAACTCAAATTAAGTGTATTACAAGCGGAACGAAATACTTAGTTATTCTGTTTAATATATATAGCTACAAACATTTATTTTCCACACTATTTGACAAAATTACATAATTATATGCGAAAAGAGACATAACTTGACGAATACACATGTGCCCAACAAATGATCGATACCAAAATTGTTTTTTGTTTTTGAGTACAAGTAGTATATAGTTTAAGTGTAAAATATGATTATTTCTTATCAATGCGAATTGCAGCTGATAGCAAATTGTCTAAAATGTCTTTCAATACAATTTAGATCATAATATTTTCGTTTTGTGTGTTATAGTGGCATTGATGTTTTTGGAAAGATATGACTGTTATGAATCAAGCTATGTAGTAGCTGTGTTATAGCGATTGTAATCTAATAATAGTACGTTTGATAACGACGGGTCATTGCATTTTGTCAAAATTTTATATAAATACATCGACTTTAGACTTTTTTGGGGGTGGTGAAGCACAACTTGCAGTGATTGATAAAATACCAAATACCATTGGCCAATGCGTACTGAACATTCAGTAACAACTCACCTGATGATTAAAAAACAATCAAATAATGAACAATTTTAACTCACAGAAGCCGGCACAAAATTTAGTATTATAATTTTTATATATTGCATTTAAATATGTCCTTTGATATTATTCAAGCAAGAAACAAATAATCAAAGTCAGGATATATTATAAAGAATAACGACGTTAAAAATATATTTATTTCTCATTGTTGTATTTCTTTTTTTCTTGTGCAGTCGTTATCATAATATGCGTGCAATTTTTTCTCTTCAACCGTCATGTAAGTGCTTTTTTTATTTTTGACGTGAAAGTATAAAATAAAATGGCACTGAATTGCGGAAATTCTAATAACGTCTTCTTCACTCTAATATTGAAGATGGAATGCAATTTTTCAAGATAAATTGTCGTCGATTCGCAGGCTGGTGACCGCTGTATTGGTGCACCAAATGGTTATCATGTTAATAATTTTTAAATTTTAACAAATATATTTTTAAAAACCTGAACGCATCTAAATGCCGGTTTAAACGAAATAATTAAAGCATTTTCACTCTTTCACGTGGCCTAGTTTTATCCTGCCGAAAAAAACTGTTTACATTACTCCGATAATTTTGTCTGGACATGGTTTTGTTTTGCTATAAATTTTAGAAACAGTTAGTTTTACAGCACATCCGAATAAGATACAATTTCAAAAACATTAGTTGTTAGATATTTTACAGTTATTACGACTGATAGTACGATCTAGTATATTGTGGCACATTAAAAAAACTGTACCGGTACAGTATAAAATATATTGATTCCTACGTAGTATTTTAAAACAAAGAGAGTATTTTTATATATCAACACAATGACTTACGTATCGTAAAAATACATGATATTTAACCTAATGGTCAGATAATAACGGATTGACCACGAAACTTTTTTCCATCTCGAAGGTCAACGAACCGTCCAAAATTGTTGGTCTATTGAACTTGGGTAGTCGCGTCCGTATCAACAAACTGGTTTTGCAAAAAAACATACTCGCATGGACATCTGGTAATTTTCGATGAAAAACTGCGGCAGTACGCTGGCATTTCCGAAGGAGGTAACAAGGAGGTACGCATGTAGTTATTTTACGCTATGTTCGACCGTGCCGTATGTCCGCTGTCGTGCGTTTAAAGTTTTTCTGGTCTTGTTTTAAACGTCATTGTATATTTTGTTCCAGATTATGTGATTCTCGCAGTCGCGTATAAATCATCAGGCTGTCATAATATGTAAGTAAAAATGCATTTTCAATATATTTTTAAGATTTATAACCTCATATTGTAACCACAGCTAGGGGTTAGTTATACCACGGGAGCTCATCAGTGTGAAGGGCATTCGATGGGGTCTTCAGAACTCACGAATTACGAATCAATCGTAATCAACGCTAAATAAAAGGCTAAATAATAGTGTATTCCATTTAAATATTCAATTTTTCTTTGTTTGGATAATTTGCAGTATGAAAAAGCACGTATACGACTTAAAAATATAAAATTACATTTCGACTATGATATATCAAGTATTTAAATGTGGTATTGACCGGTTCCGTTACAATTCTGTTTTTTTTTTTTCTATAAAAAATCACACAACAAATATTTTATTTAGATACTAAATTACAATTTAACTCAGTAAGTATCAGTTTTTTTACATTTTTAGTATTTTAAACTCTCAAAATAACACCGTTAAATATATAGCTAGGCGTGACGAAAACAGAAGATACGGCAGAAAGGTGAATGAACAAATAAATAAGTAATTTCGTCGAATGATGCAATACGAATTTATAATATCAAACTAGTTAGTATATTATCGGGACATATTGATATCGTACTGATAAAGATTTTCGGAACACTTTCAAAATACATAATATTATTGACCCACCTAAAATAATTTACAAAACTCAAGGTAAAATGTATCTATACACACCGGCATTCATGGCAACTATACAGTGGGTAAATAAAATAAATGGTGAACTGCGTATATAATTATTTATGTTTTCGTATGTTTTGTTGGCGTTCTCTGAAGTACAGTCGAACGAAAAAAGTAGTCAACAAAAAAATTGTGTGACTTTTTCTCGTTTCCTAATTTCTGTCAAAATCTTAAAAAACAGCTTAAAAATTGTTCGTGAGTTGTAGTAGAGTGGAACAGAACATAGCCATTGGCGTTCGCAGGAATTTTCGGTAGTGGGTGGGGAAGGGGCCTTAAAAATGAATGATTACTCATAGTTGCCACAACTCACAGGATTAGGTTTGAAAAAATTAGGCTTTCTTAGTTCGTATATTGATATATGAAACAAAAGATGTACACAATTATAAATTATTAAACAAGTTGTGTCGTACAAGTAATGTGCAAAAACAGTACAATTTTATTTTTATTTTTTCCAGCCTCATGATTTCAGACCTTTAGGTGTGAGGCACTTGAAAATTACTGCACTTACATATTCGACTGCTGTCAATCCTATTATTGTTTTTGAATTATTTTGGCTATATCTAATCCTTTAAGACGCATGTGCATATAATAATTATATGTCTTTGCTCAGCAGTTTACTACAATTGAGACTTGATAAATATCAAACAAAACAAATATTAATAATACGGAAAATGGAGGGGAAATTATAATTGGTTTTGACAGTCTTTGGTATTTCCAAGAATTACCATACCCAACATTTTAAGCGAAACACAAGAAACGAGAATATTTCTTGTTGGATTTGTTCCAGGAAATTCACGGGAGTGCTTTTAAATATACGAATATAAATTTGCAGAAATTTAGAACATTTAAAAGTAATTATTTCAAACAGTTTTCAATTTCTAAATTATTCATTATAAAAATAAATAAAAAATTGCATATAATTATCAAGTTAAAAACACTAAATAAAACTTACATAATAATTATAAAATTATATGCAGATAATAGTGTTGTTTATCATTTACGTTTGTATTATCAATAACGTTTTCAAGACTTTTTTTTAATGTAATTAATATTTATAATATTTATACTTATATTTTTTTGTAAATTATAAACACTGCCTTCAATTGATGAAATGATTTTATTAAAAACATAAAGAAGGGAATACAAACGTCATAATAATATATTGATAGATTTTTAGGTGTTCATTTAACTTGAAATTTATTTTTAGATTAGATAGAAATATAAACAACGCTTGAGTAATATTTTTGGTTTGTTCTGAGAACTTTTGCATGCAAAACTATCTTTTAATAAAACCAATTGCTTAGTAGTTAATAAATATTTTTTTATAACCTGTTTTTAAAATATTATAGAATCATAAAATACATTATTATATATTATGATTGTGTAATTAAACATCAAACGAATGTGTAAAAAAATTACAAATGTGAGAAATTGATATGAAATGGTATTATTGTATTTAATAATTGCAGTAATTTCTGAATATCTGAAATCATTTCTCTGGAATTTGTATAGTTATTTTTATTACAAGGGAAGAACCTTGACAACATAATATTATCAGTATCGCTTGTAGCAATAAACATTCCATATAAAGAAACTATATTCATGGCCGAAACGGACTGAGAAGATGATTAGCTATCAATTCGCATCTGTTTAGATACAGTTAAAAAATGTATCGATTTTAATTTTAACTTATTCGTGTGTTGCAATATATCACTATACATTTTTGAGTAATTAAGAAGTAATTAATTTTTTCTTTCATAGTTTCAAATTGTTTTTTTCTATTTAATAATTTTTAAGAGGATAAATGAATATAATGATTTTGTTATAATTTATTATTATGCGAGTGTAAACAACGGTGACTGCAAACCTTTTTTGCAGTAGAAAAATGTATAAATATAGTAGTTATACTGGATAGTTTTGGCAGAAAATCCTAACTAGTTGATACTTGCAGTGATCAAAAGTAAAATGTTCCACTTATTTTAAAACTTATCTGAAATTACGGAAATTTTAGCAAAATCTAACGTTTTTTGTTTTGTGATATTCAAAAATATAAAACAGCTGCAGATACTTATAAAACTCGAATTTATTTCAAACTACCTACTATTAAAACGACATTCCTGCAATGTGAGGATTCTTCGTTTTTTACACATTACCACATTCGTGTAAAGGTTTACAAAATATACACAATATATAAATAATATACATTAGATTCTGCAATAAAAAATGTAAACTCAAATATAATAATATTTTATTGGTTTTCTGTTTAAAATTAAGTCCGTTATTTATTCATAAAACCATTAAATTGTAATAAAAAATATTAATATTAAAATTAAACTTGACTTGTCTATTACTTTCAAAATGTTTTTGCAATTTTATGAAATTATTTTTCGTAGAAATGTTTGTAGGGAAAAAACTGACTTCTTTCTCTTTAACTAATACATGTCTTCAAATAGTTATCTACATGTGATATAATAAAATCTTAATCAAACTGTTTAAATTTGACAGTATGGTTTAAATTTCTTTCGTTACAGTGAATTAAATACTGTAATATTAGGTATATATTAAATACTCTTAGAGATCTGCATAACTTTGATTTGTTCTGGATAAAGTAAATCTGTTCAAGAGTAAAAAGTAGTATGGGCATTATATTTATCAAAATATTTACATTAAAAGTTCCGGGTGGAAATGATTACAATTATGAATGTTACGATGAGTGACGTTAAGTACTTAGATTATTTTATGGAGATAATGTTAATATCGATGAGGTACTTCCATCAATTATAAAACTCAAAAGTCAATATAAGTTTCGGTTTCATATTTTGTTTGCTCTCGTTATTATAAATTATAATTTGAAATATCCAGTAAACCCTATGTATTGTATAATAATTGAAAAGTAATAATATCGCCAAGTAGTCAAGGGAATCAAATACTTATAAAAATTCCTTACACATACAAAATAAAAATAATATGAGCAATACAATCATATTAAATAGTTTAAAAAAATATCAATTCCCAACTGTACCTTTGTCTAATCATAAGAAAATATACCTAGAACAAATTCAAGTCAGAATATCAAATGTGATAAGTCGAATTATGTGTAAAGTTTAAGCGTAAATCATATTTTTTTTAAAGTTTGAGTGAACTTTAAGTTTATACCTTTCTAAAATCGGCAGTGGTATTATTTTCAAGTTTATCGTAATATCGTCATGAATACACGATATGTGAGCGCATGGTTACGACATTGAGCTGGGTATTCGAGTTATTTATCAAAAAAGTGCCTATTATAACATTCAAATAAGATTGAACAATTTAAAATTATTTAAACAATATGATAGCAGCTTGACACTGACCCTATGCCTTATAAATCACGTTATACACTTCACTATATATTATAACTTTGAAAAATACCCATAATAACTATTTATTTTGCTATTTTTGGCCATTTTTGGACACAGAATAATATATATAATAATATAAACTGTTATTTAATATTATACATACAATTTAAAACAAATTAATATTACAATCTATAGTAATATAATGTATCGATTAGATTGTTTTATTAAAACCAAAAAAATTCAAGAAAGTGAAATTATGTAAACTATTACTTCACAATAAATCCAAATTAGTACTTATAATATTCATAAGTGTTTTATATTTTCAGATACAGTTTAAACCATGACTGTCAGACTTGTCGTGCTGGGGATTTTTCTACTCATTGCTAGCCCATGTTTTTCAATAAATATCTTTCGATATTTGGGTCAGGCTTACCGTAAAAATTTAATTAAATTCTACGAAGATCCTCAATTTGGAAATAAAAAAATACTAGATGAATACGATTTCATAGTGGTAGGAGCTGGTGCTGCAGGAGCAACAGTCGCTCGACGGTTAGCGGAAGTCTCAGGATGGAACATACTACTATTGGAAGCTGGAGGAGAAGAATCATTGATTACTTCTCTCCCAAGTATTGCTCACTATTTACAATTTACAAATTACAATTGGGCATACCACACGGAAGAAGAATTACATGCTTGTAAAGGACTTATAAACAAGACTTGCCCATGGCCAGCAGGAAAAGGATTGGGAGGAAGCACAATAATTAATAACAATATGTACACAAGAGGTAATGTAAGAGATTTTGATCGTTGGGCAGAAGCAGGAAATCGAGGGTGGTCTTTTAATGATGTACTACCATATTTCATAAAAAACGAAGACATAAACGTACCGGAACTAAAGAGGTCCCCTTATCACGGGGTCGGAGGACCATTGCCAATTAGCTATCCTGATTATAAGTCAAAACTGGTCGAAGCGTTCTTGGAGTCAGCACCTGAGGTCGGTATGTCTGTTGGTGACTATAACGCTCCGGGTAGTCATGTGGTTTTCTCCAGAATTCAAAGTACAACGTTGGGTGGCAGACGTATTACTTCTGCAAGAGCATATCTTCACGACAATTTAAGTAATCTGCATGTAGTTGAATTCGGATATGTCACGAAAATATTAATAGACGAACAAACAAAAGTGGCATATGGGGTGGAGTTCATGAAGAATAAAAGGAAAAGAAGAGTGTTGGCTAAAAAGGAAGTCATAGTATCAGCAGGCACGTTTAACTCGGCTAAACTGTTAATGTTGTCAGGTGTTGGGCCTAAAGAACATCTAGATTCTTTAGGTATAAAAACCGTAAGTGATTTACGGGTAGGAGACAACTTACAAGAACATCCAGCATTTGCCGGGTTAGCATTTCTAGTAAACGAAACTGTGTCATTTGTTCCGGATAGAATATTTCGTAACTTATTAAACGAAGCATTTAAAATACACGAAAAGAGGAGTTTTATGACAACATTACCCCCTGAAGGTGTTGGCTACGTGAAAACCAAGTACAACACGGATGTAGGAGACATTCCTGATATCGAGTACATATTCCTGTCTACCAGTTTGGCGGGAGAAGGGGGTTTGGGTGCCAGTATGGGAAGGAGATCGATGGGTGTACCCGACAGGCTATACTACGAAACATATCACGGCGCTTTGGCACGTGACACGTGGTCGATCTGGGTTATGTTGATGTATCCGGAGAGCAGAGGACAGGTATGAAGTTTGTTCACATGTATAACATTATATTGGTTGATGGGTTTATATCAAAATGTTAATCATTGACAAACATGTTGTCCATGTGTATAGGTAAGGCTGCGCAGCGCTAATCCATTTGACAAACCGGTGATCAACGCGAACTTTTTCACCGACCCAATGGATTTGAAACGAATCGTGGCAGGCATAAAAATGACGATCGAGCTCAGCAAAACCAAGGCGTTTCAAAAGTACGGTTCCCGTTTGCACAAAACACCCATGCTCGGGTGTAGGCATTTAGAATTTGGCACCGATCAATACTGGGAGTGTTGTGTGCAGACGATGACGATGCAAATGCACCACCAGAGTGGCACGTGCAAAATGGGACCGGAATGGGACCGAAACGCCGTAGTGAACTCTCAGCTGAAAGTGTATGGAGTGAATAAACTGAGGGTGATAGATTGCTCAATTATGCCCACAATTACAGGCGGTCACACTGTTGCACCAGCGTACATGATTGGCGAGAAAGGTGCCGATTTAGTTAAGTCTACTTGGTTGAATAACATCCAAGCAGACTTGTGATCAGTATCTAGTTGATATGTATTAAATATTGTGATTGAAATACTTCTATGAAAGAATATCAGTACAAATTATTATAAATCCATTCTGTGTTATTATCAATAGAAGTTAGACATTATTTTTTATTTTTTTTTAAATGTGTGTAAGATGTAAGTTTAGAATATAAAATAAATGATTAACAATGTATTTATTAGGTAAAATAATTTTAAAAAATGTATTCCTTATGAGGTACACCTATCAGTACTGACCATATTTGTACCAAAAAAACATAAATAAGAAATTATGTAAATTTTTAATAGAATCACAATGTTAAAAAGCATATACATAAATCGAGCGCAATCATTTTTAGCATAAAGTTACTCAATATTTATTTGGTTTTGATTATTATTAAATTTACAAATATATATGTATGTTCTCAGTGTTACTCACGAGTCACGACCAATGTCACCGTCGATCATAAATTTGTTATGGTATCATAAAATAAAACCATTTTACTACTTTTGATCGTCACAAGGATAAAAATAAATTGAACTTGTTCTCGGTTTTCCTAAAAAGAGGTATACCTACCTAATAAATTCAAATTTAATCTCTACATTTAAAATTGGGTTACTGTTTATTTTGACTGCCTATTTGTTTTAATTTTATATTAATTCAAAAAATTCACCATTTTCCAATACCCATGTAAAAGCCCACGTAGTTGTCCTTTTTTTTAGAAATATAAATATTCTTTGCAAATAAAAATGGTGCTTAAGAAATTAATTAAAATAGTTTAATTATTAATTATGTCATGACAAATAAATTAAATTATAGGTACATAGTATTTTACTGTCCTACTATTATGGTTTCATTGAAATATTTAAATATTATTATTGTACAAACAATTATTTTTTCTTCGATGTATTATATTCCACAACAATAACCACATGGTCGTAAATTAAATAAATAATATATATTATATAGGTATTATATTTAAGTAAGAACTTTGAATGATGTATTTTATTTTATAGAAATATGTTTCAATTTTGAATATTAGTACTTCGCAGTTTATAGTGTAATATACATGGTAAGTTTTGAAACGTTTTGTCGTTCTGGACAAATTTATTTTCATTGATTTCCGAAAAAGTAATAAAGTAAAAAAACAAACACGAACGATAACATTTACGGCTTGGTCTGTATTTCTTTCTTCATTTTTCACGGTACACAGATTTTTAAACCCGATTTATTTTAGAGGTGGTACAATTTATTACATTTCCTGTCGAAAAATGGTGAACGAGGGGTGACTGGGCTGTAATAATTCAGGTCGATTGAAAAAATGGTTTAATTGCTTAACTTTTTTGATACACAAACGAGAAAAGAAATAAATGTCAGTGTTCTAATAGTATATCCGTCAGTGATTGTTTGACAAACTCACAAGACTGAAGGTTAAGTGTGAAATTGTAGATTAAAAATTAATGTTATTATTATGATAATTGTTATACTTTTAAGAAATAAAACTAAATTCCACTCGTAATCACGTAAATGATTAAAAAAGTTTTGAACTTTGTAATGAAAAAAATTTGTTTATCTACACGGTACCAACCTATTTAAATATTTTTCCGGTGGGATAATTAAAATTCGTACCTAATTAATTTTACAATTTTCAAATGATCAGTCCTCGTCGTGAATATTTTTTTTTTACTGCGCCAAAAAAAAAAAAAATACATACACAGTAGGCATACCTCTTTAAAAATAAATACAAGTCAGTATTGTATATAATGTGAGTGTTACACATCATATGTAAGCATTACGAATAATATGAGTACAACTTGAAAGTCGCTTAACAATTAAGTCTAAACATAAAAATATACAGTACTGTTTTTTTCCAATAAAGTGTACCTATATATACATCATTGTCGTAATGATTTTATAATACATTTTTAAATTATTGATTTTTGTCATTAATATATGATACCCATCTATTGATATTCATGTATAGACGTGTCGACGTCTCGGTGACCGATCTCTCTCCAAACTCATCGTATACGGTCATTGATCAGCACGATTTCCACTTAAAATTATTCACCGACAACCAAAACTTTGACTACCAGATGATCGAACGAACCAGTCGTGTATTATAATAATATCTGTGATCGTGGACAAATCGCTAGTATACATTTTTATATTTTTACACATTGGGGTCTTGTAACATTTTTCGGAATATCTAAATAAAAGTCCATATTACGACCAAAATATTATTGTATATTAAAACACGAGGATGACACCGCATGTAAGTATTACGACTAATATGAGTACAACTGGCGAGTCACTTAATAATTAGGTCGGGATAAAAAAAAAAAAACGTACAGCGGTAATAGATTTTTCCAGTAAAGTATACACGCATAGGTAGGTGTATTCACAGCTGTAATGATTTTTGAATTATTGATTTCTGTCATTAATTATATTATTCTACCTATTGATTTGCAAGCACATTGGTTTCGACGTCTCGGCGACTGATCTCTCGCTGCCCATAGCTCAACGCACGATCAGCACATTTTCTCGTAGAATCACAATAATATATTTACCGACAACCAAAAACTTCGACGACACATTTGCCGGCAGACAATCAAACGAAACTGTCGTCTACAGTGATAATATGTATATCTGAAACCGTGGACAAGTCTCTAATAAACATTTTTATATAGATTTTTTATTATTTTACGTTCGCCCGCAAGCCCTGTGGCTTATTAGATCGTGGCGGAGGTTTTTTTTTTTTTAACCGCACAGTTATTAACGTCTGCGACGATGTTTCGGTGAACTCTCGGTTCATAAATATTTTCGCAGTCGAGTTGATTGTTATATTCATAAGATCCGTCTCGACATCAAATATTCTATTATTATTAAAACCGTCCTGCACAAGCCGACTATAATAATACGAGCCACAGCAAGTGTACCAGGTATCCGGTTCGAGTCCCAATCCGCTGTCTTCTACCGTTTTCAACAACACTCATCTACATACGACCGCCGTTAAAACTTGGCACGAAAAAGGGACATAACATTACGGGCTGCAATCGACAGTGGAATACATTTTAACAATCGCGATGTTAATGTTGTTGGTAATTAACGATCGACTGTAATTATAGGTACTGAACATCGCAAATAAGATTGAATAAAAATCGAACTTCTATGCGTGTGTATTATAAATATGTTTGAATTTTATTTCACAATTTTATTTGACGATAATATTCCACCCACGATATTCCAAGTTTACATGTATCATTGTTTGGTACAAAAGTAATGAGGACGAAGGTGGTTATAATAAACAGTTGTATACTCGTAGTCGGTGTGATTATAAATCAATAGACATCAAAGTCAAAAAACCCTCGAAAATGGACAGATTATTTTGGTGTCGAAAATTTATAAAAACATTTTGAATCTCAATGCCGAAGGTTTGAAACTGCAATGCAAGGTTTCGCATAAGTGTTTTCTTTACTAGAAACATTGAATACTCCTCGTCAAATAATGTGTTCTTATAGCAACTCAAAAATATTTCAAACACACAAAAACAATTTTTTTCTAAAGATATTTCTAGTGCAGTTTCTGACGAAATTGGTTACCTATACTGCAGCGAATGATAACGATTTAAGCGTTTTTGTCTTGACTAAGTAAAAAATACCGTTTTTGAAATTGTTCGCAATGTTCCGTACACAAAATCACTTTTGTTATAATATTATTATTTACTATTAGTTTAGTTTCAATAATTTACCATGCGGGAAGTCCCGTGCCGCGTCTATATTGAGTCATATTTTGGAACTCGATATTTACTTTCTGAGATAATAACGCCGCCGCCGCCGCTCGTATATAACGTCTTTCGAGCACTTGTCTACTTCAACAGGAGTGGTCGCTTATATATCGTTGCCCACTCAAATTGAAACATTTATAAACAGAGAGGATTTGTTCGCGTTTCTCGAGCATCGACCAAAATGTCATTGCTGGTCATTGTGCGGTAGGAGCAGTAGTAAAATTGTTAGCTGGCCATAAAAATAAAACTGTCCGATGCACACACTGCAGCAGAGGTGAAGGGTTACTAAAACCATACAGCGTCTTCCCTCTCTTGCGCCCCTCCCCCACCAGCCACACGGGAGTCGGGGCTTTTATCGCTTTCGGCACGACCGAAATATTAATCTGAGACCTGTGGACTTTTATTATATTCCACTCTTTGCCCTCCACCTTTTGCATTAATGAAATTCGTGCTCCGGGACATTTTCGACGGATTACCGATTGATGGTTTTTATCGTCTCTTAACACTTTATTATTAATTTGTGTTCTCTCGGAACGACGACGTTCGACCCGACTGAGTGGAAAAAACTTGACGAGGACAAATCTTCTCCTCTAAGCATAAAAATATAATCGAAAGTAAAACGTTCCAAAAACGAGAAGTAGGCATATACGTCGTAAGACAGTTTATGGGCACAGCAGGAATACACTATGTGTCATAACCTTGTTTTGATGTGTTGTATTTTGTTTGTTTGTTTGTTTGTTTATTATTATTATTATTTTATTTACTATTGAAATAATAACGCCAAAACAAACGTATAAAACTGTATTGATTGATGCTTACGCCACAGGGTAAGATAACTGCTGTGTATATTAATTGTTTTGTCCAATTGAAGTTGATACTCGTTTTTTATTGTGTATATTATTATTTATTAATAATTAATAAAAAAAAAACCAAATGTTGTAAGTTGTAACCTTTATCCGATTTTATAAAAAATTTAATTAGTATTCCATATTATATATTATATTATAGGTTTAATAAATACAAATGTATTTATTTTTGGTTTAACAATGGGATTAATTTAAATTAAAAATAGCAATATAGGTATATTACATAAGACTCGTTTTTTATATATTTTCACTACCTTAAATATAAGTATTTTATGTAGTGCAATGTTTTAGGTACCTATATCTAAATTTATTTATCATTTGATTGGACATTTTGGGTTTCGGCTATTGGGTGAAAATTGAATTTGTAAAACTGATAATATTTGACACTGATCAGATTTTCGGTGAAAATAGGTGTCTAGCAAAAAATGATAAGGTTCAAACATTACCAGCAAGTTTGAAGCATAAAGTATTGTAAAAAACCGAATACCAATATTATATTATATTAATAAGGTATACTTGGGATTGTATTCGACATAAAATCACGAATGTTGTATTTTTGCCTTACATAACGAAACGATCAGAAATCTCGTTACCTACTCAATAAGTCATAATGTTATTTTATTATTGTGTCTCACTCATATTATTACGTATTAAATAATATCATATTCATACAATTTTTTTTTCTGTATTCAGTGTACAGTCCTAGAATGCGGAACATAAAACTATTACAAATTACAAATGTCCACATTATAGTTTGAGCTAGTACCGCATACAAATTTAATAGAAAATATTATTATATAAACTATGCATGTATAATAATATAATAGTCATATTATTTATAATAGTAGGTGTAGGTATATACTAGGTATATGCTAGGTATATACTTGAATGTACAGAATTCTTTTTTTTTATGATCTATCTTTATTTCAAACATCAAGGATCATGCGTCGTTTTAAATTCAAAATCTTACGTCGAATTTACCTAACAAAACAAACAATATGTAAATTTACTTGTACGTCACGGGAGTTCATCATCGTAATATAATACATTATATTATATAAGCTAAGAATAACGTGGCGGCCATAGAAAACAAATAGTACAATAATATCATTTCTGTTATTGTTTATAATATAATACGCGTGATCACATATAATATATAAATACAATACATAATAGAATAATAATATAATATATATATTAACATTATAATAATATTATGCCATAATAATAATTCATAATATTTTTGTATAACGATTTTTACAACATTATTATTAAAACAGAAAAAGGTTAAAAAAAACCATTTTTTTTTTTGTTTGTTTTACTAGCTTATCTCAGTTAGGTAACAATCGTTTTAAATGGTATTGTTATTATTATTATTATTGTTGTTGTTGTTGTTGTTGTTGTAATTATTATTATTTTTTTTTTTTATATAAATATAACTTAACTATCTTTTGGTTAGACAATATTATAATTATTATCTTATTGGCATACAATACACGTTATGTACACTTATAATAATAATATAATATAATATAAACACATGAGGATACAAAATCAATGTGGACAACGAATAGTTTAAACTTTAAAATAATATCAATATCGTCAATATTTAAACAACAAGCCTAAAGTACAACACAGTGTTCGTTATAACATAGTAACATACGCAATATTTATTTATTAGGTATAATATTATTAGGTACCCAATCGGCGCGGCGGCGACGGCGTTAACGGACAACTTCGGCTAGGTATATAATAATAATAATAATAATAACATAGTAGGTACCTGCTTTTAAATAGATGTCGTTTCTCGTACAGAGGCTTATAGTTTTAACTTTTAGTAAGAGTTATCATTTTACGGTTTATAGAAAAAGACGAAGAAGAAATTATCATTATTATTATTATTTTTTTTTCATATAATATATATACACACTTACAGTTAGGTATTGAATATTGTTATTATATAATATTTAATATAGTAGTAGAATTGTATGTTACATTTTAATATTAAAAAAAAAAAAAACAAAAAAAACAAAAAAAAAAACGAAGCGCATTTTCCTAATACCTAATCGGATAATGTTTAAATAACCGTATAATATTATTACGTTATAATAATTTCAGTAGTTCTACACACAGATAATCGCGAGTCCGCGTCACATATTATATTATATAGGTACGCACCCACAACGGCGGTACATATTTTCAAATTAAGTAACCAGCAGACGGCCGATTATAATTATTAACTATATTATCATACAGATAGAGTATACGTAATATCGAAATTCGAAGTCGCCTAAAAACAGTGTGCGAGTCTATAATATCGAATGGGAGATAATACAAGTTCAATATTATATAATAATATGATACATTGATTTAATGCTAAATGACTTAAATATTGTATAGAACTACGTCTCTGACGGACAAACAACAGATTTGATTTTTGTCGGGTAATCTAAAAAATAAAAACAAAAAAAACCGTTGACGATTGTTCACAACAATAGCTTATACAACTATAACGACTCGTTATCATTGTGACGTATACGCGAAGCTAATGTACACAATATTGTGTTGGTCTAATGACGATATTATAGTAGTTAATAATAATAATAATAATAATAATAATAATTATATTATGTATAAATTATTTTACAAAATTACAACAATATTATCATCTTTGACGGGGGAGACACGAGGGCATACGAATCGAATATTATTATGACGCTCGGACGTCGTTCGTGCGGTTACACGGGGTGGAAGAAATTCCCGGAAAAACCCAGCAGTCTTTGCAGAGGGCTCAGACGTCGTCGTCGTCGTCGTCGAAACCTCCAGGGTTTGGAGATTAGCCGTTGCCAGTAGATTGTTGGTGGGTGGGGGGCTGGTGGAACCTAACCGGCGGACGTCGTCCTAAGCGTATTTTAACAATCATGCGACGCGTGGAATAGAGAGGGAAAAATAATTTTTTTTCTTCATAATTTCGGTCGATTCGTGTTGAGTATATTTCATACGCGTAAGTTCAAACGACGACGACGACGACGAGTGTGTAATAAAAAAAAAGTTAAATGTACGCTTCACTTGATGGGTCGCGGCCTGTGGTTGAGGGTTGCAGTTGCAAGGTTGGGGGTGGTTTTGTGTGGTACGGATTATTTTCTACATTTTATTCTTACTGAACCGCTGTTGGTTGGGNGGGGGGGGCGGAAGAGTTTCCATAATCATCGAACCATTGAATTTCCACGTTTGACGGCGTTCGCCCGCCTCGACAAGGTGAACACACAGCTCGCCCATGTCACCCGTCGTCACACACACACACACACACATACAAACACGCACACACACACACACACGCACACACATTTAAATATAATAGCGCTTTTGACGCAATGCGGCGGAAGCCGTCGTTAAAATAATAATATTACAGTTTCTTTTTTTTTCGCATCTCCATCTCACTCGGCGGTCGGTCGGTCTTCGTGGAACGCGGTAAATTATATTATTTTATTTTTTCTAAAACTGCTACTATACAATCCAGAGGGGTTTTTTTAAATTTTTTTTTTTTGCCCGCATCGTATCGATAGCGCAAAAAAACACTCGCGCACGCACACCAACACACACACACACACACACACACACACACACACACACACACACAGACACACAGAGTGCGCGCGCACTCGAAGCGCACTCGAAGCGCACTCGCCGGCGTTTCACCCGTCGACGGTGCACCCTAAATGCACGTGCAGAGCAACACCTCGTGGGTTCGTATGGTGGGTCTAGTAGTGAGTGCACGTGTGCAGAGCTGCGGACAATAATATCTTGTACAAAACACAATAATGTCATTATTATAATATTAACAAAAATATATAGATCGGGTCCAAGAGACGGATCGAATGTGTGGGTCGAATGTGGATGAGGCGAAGACGACACCCGGACCGGACATCCGGCGCAGTGCACTACGTCGTCTTGTGCGCACCCGTCGTCGTCGTGCTTACACGTGCAGCAGCATGCACGCGAAAAATATCAAGCAATACATGTGGGTGGTCCTCTGGTGAGCTTGGCCGCCGTGTTGCATCGCCGCCGGGTACTCTCCTGCGAACAACAGTCGTTGTAGTCTTACTGTTTCACAACTCGCGCACGTGCATGGATAACAATGAAATAATATTTTCAGTGGCTCGCGAGACCCACAAAAACCCTACAGTGACCCAGTGACCTACAACGCTTTGACGTCTCACGTAATATGCACTGTGTGACACGCCAATAATGTTCACGCAATACATAAATTACAATCACCAATGAGGTATCGAAAACGGATTACATCCTGCTGTAGGTTACAACGGTCTTTGTACTTTGGGCCACTGACCAAACGACCGAGTGTCCGTTTCAAAATTGAAAATCTTAAAAAAAAAAAATGCACGGAGAAAAAAATCATACGCCTTCACGTCGTTCGGTTAAGGCTTGGTACTATACATATTATATTAAAGTTGTCCCCACTGCCTAATCAACATAATTTAATAACGATTTATTCGTGAAATTCCTCTGCAGTGACATATTATTAAAACGAATTCATTGTTGATGATTTCAATATTATGTTTCACATTTATTTCACAATTTTTGACGAGACGAGTTTATCGTTATCGTCGCAAAAATTGTAAACCATAAAATTGATTCCTATAACATATCTTTCATATTACTATACATTTTGTCTTCTATTTACTCAAAAACCGAAAACACTATCGCTCACCGTTCAACACGTGTACGTTGATGGACTTTGGCTGTGAGTTGGACGGGTTGCACTGATATCGGCCGTTGTCCTCGACCCGAGCTTCTTGTATGAGCAGATGACTGGTGGTTACCGTTCCTTTTTCGGTGACTACGTTCACGCCTCCTCTGGGCGAATCGTAACTGATAATCTGAGGACAAAATGGCGATGTACTTTTATGTTCAAAAGTCAATGTCATTTTAAGCAGGTAGGTAGGTAGTTAAGGTCCTAGCAAAACGTTCAAATAAATATATATTTTTTGCACCAGATGACAACAAATAAATTGTGAATATTTTTTAATATTCTAAAGTGATAAATTAAATTAAAATAATGTGAGTTTTTTTTTTTTACGGAATCGATGAACGTTTTATTCGTAGTTGTAATCTGTGTACATCATCACGCTCAAGTGTTTTGTTTTTTCATTACAAGGTTTCACTTAAAACTTTTACTGCTTAAATTCATAACAATATTATGATGTGCCAAAGCCTAAAACCTTGAGCTCAGACTTGAGACCTCGAAAAAACCATAAATCTGCAGTATACTTTAAAACAATCAACAGACACGCGGAAATTAAGTCGCAATTAGACCAACAGTTAGTATGGGCACAATTATTTTTGTTCTTAAGAAAAGTGTTTAAATTACATTTCGTGTCAAAAACATTAAATGTCTATAAATACCTAACACCAAAAGCACTATTCAATTAAAACATAATGCAATGTAAAAGAAAAATAAAATTATTATTTTCACTTATCAATCAAAATTACAGAAAATGCACACTACAACCAGTGTTATTCTCAAAGTTTCTCATGTAAAAAGTTTTTCAATAAATCGCAGACTGTTCGAAGAATTTTACAAGAATGAATTTTATTTTTGATTCGAGGAATTCGATTTTACCTTTTAAAACTTTGGACACTGTGTTCTATACGTCTTACCCTGTATTATACCATAAAACTTTTGTTTTTTAACAGCTCTGAATTTCTTTGGAATACTTTTGAAATGCACAGCGGTTTCATGTAAACTTACAATTTTCGTGAATTGTATTTCGGACGGATGGCTGAGGGTTATGTAGAATTTTCCCTTTATCAGAAAAAATTGTATAAAATATGTGCACTTAGATACATTACAACTGCAGCGACTATCTATTTTCTATTTTTTTTTACTTTATACTTGGAATACTTTACAAAATTAAAAAATACCCTGGAAATTTGAAGGACTGCATCTAGAAACCTTATAAATTGTTAAGGTGAATTTTTTTTGGTTTACCCATTGAGCTTACATATTTTTGTTGTTGTGCAGCATACACGTTGGACAATTCTTTAATATTTAAGGGAATCGCAAGTATGATTAAACATTATATGGCACAGAGGTTTCATAAATATATATATATTTTTTTTCAATTTGGATAATAGAAAGTTATGATATTAAATGTACTGTGTTAAATTATTAGCTTTATTAAATATTCGAAGTATAAATAGAAAATATCTGGGCACTTTTAAAAATATTTAAGTTTTTCTTTATGTTTTGTTTGTATTAAAATTCAATGTTTTTGTAAATGCAGCCAAAATTGTTTCCCAGAAATAATTTAAGTTGCAAGCAGTAGAATTTCTTCTTAAGTAAAAAAAGAAAGCGCCTACATAATAATATAATAACAAAATGTACTCCATTCAAAAATAATATAGGTATACCTACTACAAGAACTTAATGACTTTTTTCTATCGTGATTTTATGTTGAACGAATGTTCCCCGTCTGTAATGCACATTTTTGTGTAAGTATAAAAGCCTATTCAGTTACATTTAGGTTGTTCATTATTTCGTGTTGATATATTATGTACGACTAATTCAGTACACCCTAGTATTAACCCTATAAAGTATTTTAATCACCAAGCAATCTGTAAGTTGCATATTTCGATGGTTTATCAATACTGTCGATGTTACTATTTGATTATTATTAATTTTTTAATAATTGCGAAACTCAACTAAAAACTTTTTTATCAGTGATATTGTTATCTCCACGAAAATTATACGGTCTTTACACTTTTACAGGTCATTGTACCAATATTATTTTAAGCACATTTCAGACCCTGTCATGTATATATTATTATACAGTTTATGAATAACTAATATTCACTGAGACGTCTGCAAGTTAGTCTTGATTACCTCGTACGACCTGTATAATACGAGATAATTACATTGTCTGCATACGTAAGTATAACAATATATTCATCGCACTAATCCATTTTGTGGTTCGACGTAGTATTATTAAGGCAGTCTCGACATCAGACCTAGGTGAAAAAAAAGTGATGAACCCTAACCTAGGTACCTATAAGTTATGTATTGATTGTCTGGTTGTGTTATTCAATAGATGTCGCCTTTTATTTATAGTGCTTCCATACAAAGCGGTCCGCGCGGGAGTGCGCGTACGGGGCATAAAATAACGTTTCCTCCACCTCTCCCCTATGCCTTTCACGTCACTTTAGTCCGATATGATTTCGACGTGGTCTGTCGCCGGGCACGAATCCAGAGCACAGATATGGGGGTGGGGGAGGGGAACAAAATATACAAATTCAACATTTTCGACGACATTGTGCAGTTTCCGTCAATCGAACCGAGTACGACAATTTGGTGCAGCGGTTCCCAACGCATGGGTCGCGGCCCACTCGTGGGCTCCGAGCAGCTTAGTACTGGGTCGTGAACCATATAATATTAAATATTATATATATTTAAAATAATATTATTATTATTTATATTTATTTATTATTATTATTATAGGTACCTTATAATTTATATTTTATAATATTTCTGGTTATAATAATATTTAAATTATTTAATCAACATCAACTACAGTGTAGGTTAGGTTAGGTAAAACTATCCAGTCTTAATACAGATATGAACTCTCCCTTGCGGGACAAGCAATGTCAAAAATCACATTAAATTGCTTAACTTGTGGTTCAGTTGAATAAAGTGTTTTTCTTAGTAAAAAAATTGATTTCTTAATTCTTTTATTTCTAATAGCTGCCGTCTGTATAATGTATATATATATACATGTGCATACGTATATAGGTGGGCCTCAGAGATTTGTTCACAAAATTGGTGGTCCGCACAACTAAAAAGGTTGGGAACCGCTGATTTAGTGGATCTTATCTCGGGAGTCGCTGTGGATCGACTCGCGGGTAGTCCATCCATCTCCTTCCGCACTTGCCGTACATCAATTGTGCGTTGCGATCATCTTTCGTCGAGTTGGTGAGTCGTACCGATTCCTATGTGCGTTTCGTTTCTTCTATGAGTCAGCCACGAGTAATATTCGACTATGCATTAAGTGGTCACTGGGTATTTTATACTGGTAGTAGCACCCCGTTGGCTAAAATGTAGTGTAAAGTGATTGCGATTTTTTCACCTTTTTACAAATTTCGAGAAAACATAAATTCGACTATAATGAACTGTATAGTCCTCATACATATTATTAAATGATATTTCTACCACAGTGTAATACGCGTGCAAGTGTGAAACGGACATTAATAATTGTTAAACAATATGCACTTTGGTAATTGATTAACCTACGCGGTAAACAAATTGATATTCCAATAAACGTGTTCCTATATATGAACATTAATTATTATAATATTATGTATGTTTCGCGATATTTTAAGCATTGCAATAATGCAAAACAAACATTATAGACATGATTTTAATATAGGGAATTTCTTCTGAACCAACAATGTCACTGCCCACTATTTAAAATGTATTACAATCGAGGTGTTGCGTTTTTTCAAAACATATAAAAAGGTAGCATAAATGCACGTTACGCCCGTCAACATATAGTACGTGTCAGCGTTGTAACGATAGACCACCCCTCGTGGGGGTAGCGCTTTTTAGGGCCATTGACATTTTGGACAGTGATCGGACCAGTGCGGTTACTACCTATGTACCACCACAACGAGACCTCGTGTGTAATACGTCCGTGTTTTGTCCCAGCCGATAAGTCTCCGGCAGACTCCGATCTCGACTTGCTCGCGCATGAAGGTTCTCCCACATCAAATGGCCGAATACGCGTCTACTAGTGACCTATATTTATATTATGCGTCATTGCACACACACAAACAATATACACACACAGATCACGATTCCTACACGATGGTCCAACAACAATTCGTATTTTAGGGTGGTCAGCTACAATTGCTCTCGGCGATGCCCAGTGGTCGGAAATACATATGTAGGGAGACAAAACGAAAAACGAAAGATTAAAAATTAGATATATTGCACTTGATATTATTTCGGTACAATGTATAGAATAACATTTCACAGCTTCCGAGTTATTAAAGCAACGGTGACCACTTTAAAATGGGATAGCTGAAAAAAGTTATTTGTGGCTATTTATAGGGGTTGATAAAGTAAGCTATAAACACCCTCCAAGTCTCGTGGAATCTATTGGCGTTTTTTGTATTGAAAATATCCAGCAGTTTACGAGTCGATTAACTGCGGATAAGCCAATTGGGTTTAAAAATATATGGTGACCAAAATATATTAAAATGATAAATTATACAATTATTATGTAACCTGACTTGGCAACTATTTATAAGAAAATAAAATAAACATTTCTACTAATTTAATACTATTAATATATTATAATATGTGACTCATGGCAACCATTTATATATTAAAATATCTCATGGAAAAAAAGCCTTTCATATTTTCCAATTTTTCGGAAACCTTTCCCGATTTATCTTTCCCCAAGAATCTCATTCGGATTATTACGAACATTTTAGAAGAAATTATGAGCCAAATCGGTCCAAACATTTTCAAGATATGCGGTTTAGAACGACCGAATTTCATTTTTATGATATAAACGATTGTAAGTAGAAATATATTCTTTATACATTTCAGTAAATACTCCATTTTATTATAGTCATCTTGTATAATTTAATTTATAAGATATTAAAATACTATTATTTTTAAAATTATTTATATAAGTGAGGGGCATATGCTTAAAATCGTGGACTTTACTTATACCATTTAAACTACTCGGTATAGGCGTAGTCGATTCATTATTATCGTATATGAATAATGCTTAAATACTAAAACTAAAAGCCACGTTTTTTCATTTTATATTTATTTAAAAATCATACGAAAACATATTATGCGTTTTAAATAAAA